TGTGTGTGTGTGTGCAAATATAAAAAGTAATTAAAATACTATGATATTACATAGTAATTATAAAAGTATAGGTAGGTCTAAAAATAGTACTAGAATAACTCTTAATACCATGGCATTTACTCCGTGTCGTACCATAGTATTACCACAGTACATGACCAAAAAACATGGTAGTACCGTATTTTTTGTATAATATTACATGCAATATAATATAAAGTATGGCATCAGCAAGATTTTTTAAAGAAATTAATACTATTAAAAAAGGAATATCAGAAAGAACACATAGTACTACCACGGTACACATCCAAAGAAACATGTTACCATATCCAAAAAACAATGGAAATATTATGGTAGCCTACTTTTTTTTTAAATGTTAAGAGGTCATGGTGAATAATAAGAATAACGGTCCAATAATTTTTCAGTAATATATGAAATAAACACATATTAAATATAAAATTCTAGTCACAGATATTTAGATAACATGCACTTCCTCTTTTTACCTATAGACGGTGGTAAAAGATGGAGACGCTTTATTTGGTCACTACAGAGGGCATCGTGTCACACAGATGAACACAGACATGCGAGCGACAGTCACTGCTGAGATAAGGCCGCCACGCTGCGCTTCATCGCGGTCACCTGTCAGCTGCTGAACCCGGAGCCGCGCGAGCGCTGTTTATTTAACCGTTGCGTGGCGACGAATGATGTGAGTTATGAATGCGCGCTCCAGGGGCTCAGAGCTCATGGCGTCAAGTGAGTGAGCATGTGTCGAGGAGACAAGAGCCCACCGACTCGCTTTAGCCTGTCTCTCATGGGCTTCAGTGCTCGATATCGCTCTCTTGCGCTCTCATTGTCTTTTTCTTTTTCTCACACTCTCTTGGGAACACGTGGCTGGATTTTGGCTTGAAGTTGCACACAGGGCCGTTTCTAGCCAATTTGACTCCCTATTGCACAGACCATGTGATATTTCAGTTTTTCTTTTTTAATAAATCTGCAAAAATGTCAACAATTCTGTGTTTTTCTGTCAATATGGGGTGCTGTGTGTACATTAATGAGGAAAAAAAATTAACTTAAATGATTTTAGCAAATGGCTGCAATATAACAGAGTGAAAAATTTAAGGGGGTCTGAATACTTTCCGTACCCACTGTATATATTATATATTTTTTTTGTACATCGTTTTTTATGTCAGAAGCATGAAACCAATAAAAAAATAAAAGAGGTTGATTTTAAGATCACTTTTGTTTGTAAACATTTATAATAGGCCTACTGCCGCAAAATCAATGAAGAACAGATGTTCTCAAACAATCTTAATTAATAATTGTGTTTACTTTATCTCCATCTAGTGGTCACAGAGGAACATGACAATAAAAGCCACTACCCCTTTCTATGTTTTATTTACATTAACTTTCAAAACGTTTGGGGTCAGTAAGATTTTATAAAATAATAATAATAATAATAACAGCCTACTATTATTCAGAAAGGAAGCATTAAATTGATAAAGTGACTGTAAACACATTCATAATGTTACATAATATTTCTGTTTCAAATAAATGTTCTTTTGAAAAATAAATCATGATTTCTACTAAAATCTTAACTGTTTTCATAATTAATAAAAAAAAGACTTCTTTGGCAAATCAGCAAAATAGCGTGATTTCTGAAAGATCGTGTGACACTGAAGACTGGCGTAATGATGCTGAAAATTCAGCTTTGATCACAGGAATAAATTACATTTTACAAACTTAAAAAATGTGAAATTGAAATAATACTTTATGATTTTTAATTATCTAAACATATATATATATATATATATATAACATTTATATATTTCATTTATGAATTTAAGACCCATGACCTTCAGCTTACTTTCTCCACTCTACCATAGTACGACAGAGAGACCAATTCCATTCCACCTACATATCCAAACTCAAGCAAACACTTAAATCACTCTTAATCATCTAATTATAGGTCACTCCATTCTCATACTTCTTCCAAGACGGGCTTTAATTTTATAATTATTGATTGCACTTTCAGTGTGTGGGAACGAAAGAGATTTCAGCTGATTTATATTTTCCTTGTTAAACAGATTACCCAAAGACAACAGCCAAATACAATGTCTCTACGATGTTTTTGTTTGCTTTTAAATAACAGTCATTTGAAATGTCACCACACATGGATAGTTTAAAGAACTGTTGCAGTAAAATAACTTCATGCTTTCTTGGTTATCTTCACTACACTTCAACATCTTTGTCTCTCAGTGCCATTTTAACCACAACCAAGAAAGTAAACATTGTCAGGAGCCCAGAAAATACAAAGTCATTAGTCATCAAGGATAACTCTCATGCATTTGAATAACACATACTTTAATCTAGAGCTATGACCACAAACCTATATCAGTCAGTAAACTTATATCACAATACAAGACCCCAAAATATTACTAAAAGAAATTAAAATATAATTCTTGGGTAACTAAAAATAGTGAATGAATGAATAAATATAATATAATATAAACTACTAAAAAAAAAACAGCATTATAAACCACTCTCTCTCCTCTTGGTTCTGATAGTTAAATCAGACTCACGTGTATAACATATGTGACAGCTGAATTCATTATCCGGGTCTTATGCATTAAGAAACACCCGCGCCTCCATTAAATCAGCACACAGCGCAATTATCCGAATCATTACACACCCCGGGCTGAGTTGGACCCAGACAACCTGTGAAAGGTTTCACTAAACGCTGACTCACTCCACACACTGATGCAATAATGGCATTCATAGCATCTAATCTCAACAATGCCAATACATATTTTGAATCTTGTTGATCTTTTATTACATATTTTAGTGGATATGGATGTTTGTATCTGCAGACTATATTATATATTAAACCTGTGAATTCACTAAACGCTGACTCACTCCACACACTGATGCGATAATGGCATTCATAGCATCTAATCTCAACAATGCCAATACATATTTTGAATCTTGTTGATCTTTTATTACATATTTTAGTGGATATGGATGTTTGTATCTGCAGACTATATTATATATTATATATATATATATATATA